TGTGGAGAAAAAATTTCTGTGACACAAGAATGTCAATGCAGGTGGGGCGTGTGGGAGGGACTTGTATATGGGCGGAGCACAAGGGGGCCCCATAATCTTGTATTGCCCGGGGGCCCCATGTGTTGTCAGTCCGCCCCTGGATATGTAACCTTAAAGAAATGGAGATTGCATCACATCAACCAGCAGGGAAAGAGACGCAAAGCACACTGGGAACCCAGGAAGTTGTTGGGAGTGATGGGCAGACGGAAGGCGGCGCTCACTACATGAAAGGGATTTTTTCAAGTCAGCTTTGATTGTATTATCCGAAACATCTCCAGTATGTATTCCTATTACAATGCTGACGTTATAACAGGAGAGGAGATGCTGGGACTTTACACCTCGTTTAACCCTTGTGCTGCCAGCGACGTATGTACTTCTCTGGCAGTGGACTCCTCTACAGAGATTCCCAGAAGCTTCAGCCACCGGGACTCTGTTCAGCTTTGTAAAGCCGACGGTCGGCTTTACACTGGAGGCAGTTCTGGCAGCTGAGCTGCTGCCAGATTGCCCCCAGGGGCCAGTAAAGAGTGTGCCCCCTGCCTTGCTTCCGGGGCTCTGCTGCTCCTCCTGTGGGACCGGGATTGGTATCATGGGTGTAGATGGACCAGTGAACATCCATTCGTCGATCTCCTCCCCACTGATTGCATCACTTCCAGTCCCTCAGCTGTCATTTCCTGGCTAGAGTAACCGGCGAGGAAGCTATTCAAGCTTCTTTGCAATGAAAGGGTGACACTAGGGGCACCAATGCCACCTTAAAGAGTACCTGTCACCACCTAATATGCTATCACATAGGAGGCTTGTAAGCCGCCTTATGTGATAGCAATGAAATAAAAATAATTAAAAAAAAAAGTTAAAAAAAATTAAGTAAAATAAAAATAAATACAAATATATTAAAACATTTTTTTTTTTGAAGGGAGGTTTGGGGGGGTACATTTAGGCAATGCCGGGACATACCCTTTAATCCAACTTGCCACTTCTTTCTTTGTTGGTTTCAGCCATTTAAAGAAAAAAAAAGACACGACACAATAGAGACTCACACTATGGCAACATTCAATGAGTTTAATAGAATAATATAAAACAACAAAACAATGCAAACCTGCAAACACATAGAAAGGCACTTCAGAGCGAGTATGAGCGATACCGTCACTGTACATTCCACCACCTCTCTGATCGCCTGCAGAGCGGTGTCACAGCCTGGTAACAGACGGCGACGAATCGACACGGAGTCATAGCAATCGAAAGCACAAACTCAGAGACATAAACATTGTGCGTTCAGACCTCTGGCTGCCCGATATCGACGCTTTGGTGCAATGAGGAAACTGTGCGAACTCAGCGCAGCCAGAAGAAGCCAGGAGAACTGTGACATCCAAAGCTGCCATGTATGAGAATGTAGCACTTGTAGAATACATTCCTTTAAAGAGAACCTGTCACTTTGCAGCAGAAGATCACATGCAGGAAACATTTGTTGCTTCAGTTTTCCAAATGCGTTTTATACAATGAAAGATGAAACGGGATTGGCTTCCATCGGCATTTTATTTTCTCCGGTATTTGTTGAGTTACAGTAGAGGAAAGGGAACAGTCCTGAGCGATGTTTAATCTCTGTCCTTGTCTGCTTTGGGCTCTGTCTGATCATATTCAAAGCTGAACTTTAGAAAAACACCAGAAATCCATTACTGCCTTCATTAAATATCATCAAATGAATATTTTACAACTACCAGGCAGAGGTACATCCAGTCTGACTCTGCGGCTATGTACAGTACCATCCATCTAAAGGCGCCTTCATACATTAGAGTTTATCCCTTCCATGACCCTTGCCAACACATTCCTAGGTTTAGTTTGCTCTGGGGGGGGGGGGGGGGGGG